TGCATGACGATGATGATGATGATGATGATGATTGTGACTATGACCATGACGACGGCTGTTCTCGGGATTGGTTCTGTTTGGGTCTGAAATCCCGAACCGCAAGCCTGCGTTTCCCGCACCCCAAAAACCTGAGGCCCAAATGAGCCCGTATACCCAAAGCCCCAACAAAATCCTGGGTTAGGCACAGCGCCCCTACAGCAGGTCCAGGGCTTCGGGGCAAGTCCGGGGCGAAGAGACTTTGGGCTGTAGGACTTGTTTTAGAAATCGTTAAACTGCTTAGGAAGGTTTGGTCAGATGGTTTACAGAGGTTATCTGGAGTCTATACACAGTTCGAAACAGTGTTGTGTCGGGGCCTTGATGGGCTCAGGCTTTCAGGCTTATGGGTTTGGGGTTGAACTGTGAACCCCACAGAAATCTAGTCCTAAATCGTGACCCTGTACTCAGACCCTCAAGCTCTGGCAGCGCCAGAGAATCTCCTAATTCCAAATATAAAATCACCGGCACACACTCTCAAGCCGCAACCCTACTTTGCCCTGAACTTGCATAGATCCTAGTCCCATTGCTGCCGGCAGGCATTGCGATCCCACAGAGCCTCTACCGCAATCAGGATCGAAGCCGTGTAGAAGCGAGCCATCTGGGCGATCTTGAATTCAGGGCTTGGGATTGGTATATGCCTTTGAGAGCTTGGATAAAGGGCTCAGAGTTCGCAGTTCGCGGTTCGGGCCTTGTTCATGCTGCTTTGGGCTGACCGCACAGGGTTGCCGGGTACGGTGCAGCGCTTTGGAGTTTGCCGCTCACCTAGGGCTGTCTCCCGCGGCTTGTTGCGAGTGTTGTTATGGTGGGTTTACAGACCTGAAGGAGCAGTGGGGCATTAACTGTCAGGTCCCAAGCATAGGGCAGATTTGCGGGCTTCTACATTATGCTGTAAGCTACACGGAAGCGTACTGGTGATTTAGCCAATGCGTTCGTGTAGAGCGCTCAAGCTTTTCTGACTCTGGGTCACGTGTCTGGGTCAGCGCCACCATCTCGCTGAACGAAGATCGAAGATCTGGCTTCGTGGCCAGGTCGAGCTGTACAGTCATGCTCGCTATTCGTCGTATCCCGTCAAGGGCGGCCACACATGAAGCTTCAAAGTGCGCACAGTTCGCCTAGGAACCACAAGCCCATTGTGGTGCCAGTGTCCCTAAAGCCTGAACCCGAGCCCTAGAAATTCTCAGGGGTTGAGGCTTAAGAGCAACTTTCTCACGCGGAGCCTGCAGACCACACACGCACCTGCAGCATACTTCAAATGCAACTGTTTATGACATTAACATCTTGTGCTTCTATATAACCCTAGATCCCAAGTTCAAAATCCCGCAAATCGCCCCAAACCCCAACTTTCAAACCCTAGACGCTGTAGTAGGGGGAACCAGAGTAGAGAATACACCCCGCCCGAAAAAGCGCTCCAAAATGCAAGCCCAGCATCTCGTTTTGGGGGTCTAATGTTTAAGATTTTAAGATTGAGGGCTTTTAGGTTTAGGGGTTCAGGGGTTCAAGGTTTCGGGTTTCGAACACGATCGATGACCTCAGAAGCTAAGTAAGCCTCGGCACAGCTTCACTTCCAGGCAATACTTGCAGTTGAGCAGAGTAAAACGAATAGGATTGGGCATCTTGAACGCTTCGGTTTTAGCTGAGATTTCGGAACTGCTTAGCTTCGGTAGGTCTCGCCGCGGAGAGCTGGCAAACTTCGGGGTCTCAAGCATCTTTCTAGGATGATGTACAAGCTTGCAGGAACCGGGCAACATGAGTTCGATCCATAGTACCTCCAATAGTCAGCATTGTGATCAAGTGGTAGCCACTATGCTATATCATGTGGGTGCTGTGGTAGAACAAGCACAAATGGGTGCAGAAATGCTCTGATGCGCATGCCCTGCGCGGCGGCTTGACAGGATGGATGCAACAGAAACTCCTCGCTTCCATTGATCAGGAAGACACGAAAAATTGCAGGGTCTGAGAAAAGGTAGGCTTTGGCATCTGTGCCATCTGGCAAGATGTTTACTTACCAAGTCCGTCCCGAGCCAAGCGAAACCCAACCGGCGAGCCTCAAGCCTCCCAAATCAAATCTGCCGAAAGCTGCTGCGTTGTCAGTTTGGGAACGAAAGACCAGTACACGCACAGGATGCAGAAGCAGAAGTACCAGTATATGTTGGTCGGCTTCGGGTCGTAGCAGGAGCAGTAGTAGTAGCAGCAGCAGTAGCAGCACTAGTTGTAGGAGTAGTGGTAGCTGGAGTAGTAAATTGTCGTCGCCGTCGTGGTGGTGGTGGTGCTGGCAAGACCAAGTCTTACGGAAAACAATGGCAGCAGCGATGCCTGCGATGATTGTGATACACACAGCCTCGCAGAACATATATTCAGTCAGCATGAGTAGAGTTAAGCAATAACGATAGACCAGCCGTGACTATGACTGCCGAGTATTGCCATGACCACTTTGGTGACAAGCTAGCGACAGCCGCCGGTGTTAAAAGGCAAAAGCCCGGGCTCTGCTGTCTAGGGCCACTGCTTGCAGCACTTGTGGTAACCACAGCAAGACCAACAACGAAAGCAGCAAGAACGAACTTCACTGTACCCACAAAAGACATGGTTGCCAAGGCAGTCGGCAACAGTGCCAACATCGAAAATCAGCGCAACAACACTAAGCGAATCGGCGGAAACACACCAAGTGCGACAAGACTTCAGCAGCGCACACGGGATGGCACAACCCGCCCGCCCACACGAACACACCGACTTGTAAAAAAAGAATGAAGTGTTAGCGATGCCACTGTCGAGTCTACCCTCTCTCGTAGCGGCACAAGAATGCAAGAAGCAACGGGGCGGACTAAGGGATTGTAAACCTGATGGCAGTTCATGGTATCAACAATCTGAACCCATTCAGTTGAACCATTACCATCAGAAGTAAGCACATAGTAGTAGTAAGCACCCTTCAAATATTAAGTTGCCACAGGGCGACCACGCAAGCAACCCCCTACGCGTTTGCATCTCTGCCAAGCTGGGCCTGGGGTAGACGAGCCTTCTGACGCATAGAGGTTCTGGATTGGAGATTCTGAAGTTCAGGATTTGGTGTTTTATTTTCAGGTGTCGGACAAAGGGGGTTGGATTCCACACTTTACAGGTTGGCTCCAAACTCCAGCCGCCTGTCTCCTCATCCCTCAATGCTGCAAAAGCCTCTGCCCTTCAATCCTAAAGAAAAGCCCCTGGACCCATGTAGTACACACTCTTCTACACTGTGAATCATTATGAACCTTCATCCCTACGTTTTACCCTGAAACCGAGACCGAAACCCTTGATCCCCCCTGCCCTAAAGTCATGACAAGCCTAAGCAAACCCTTACTGACCCTTAGCCGTAAGCCTTGTATTCGCAACCTCGATGGTAACCCTAACTACTGAACACTGAAACCTAAACCCTAAACCCATAAACCCCTAAACCCCTAAACCCCAAACCCCATAAACCCCTAAATCCCAGGACCTTCGCCCCTGTTTTGCCCCCGGCGTTCTTAAAGGCAGCTCAGAGCTTGGCTGCCGGCTCCAGGCCCTGGTAGGTGCGCCTTTACAGTTTAGGGTTTAGGGTTTAGGGTTTAGGGTTTAAGAAGCCAGAAAGTTGGAATATCATTCTCATAATCCCTTTAAGATAAATTAGGGGGGGGTCCTGCCATTATTCCATATTCCAACTCTCTGGAGTTCCTTTTAATTGCAAAAGAAGGCTTAGATAGAGGGGTTGGATTTTTTTAATATAGGTGCCTTCATAATTAGGGCAGGGTTTGGGCTCCTTTGTAATAGAATTATATACAGGAAGCCCTAAGGAATATGATGGGTTTGGATTTGGGGTGCTGAGGGCTTAGGGTTTGCACATGGTCTTTTACGGGGTTTCATGGACATGTGTGGGATGTGCAGGGTTTCATCATGCCTTATGGAGATATGTCACAGTGTGTTGTTTCTGGTGGTTTGTAGGGGGTGATGGGCAGATGGGAATCCAACAGGAGGTTTGCACGCTCCTACTCCGCTTCAAGCCCCACTGCTAAGCCCGCGTTCGACTTCCTGTCAAGCGTCTTGTGGTTTAAGGGTTGAGGGGTTTTCAGGTTTAGGGTCGGGGTGTAAGCCGCTAAACAAAAAACGCTAAAGCATGTGTCCTCACGGCGTAGTTCTTCAGAAGGTGTTGTGGACTTGCAGTAGTGCTGTTTACAGGGTCTGGGCTCTGGAACTGCTGAAGAAGTGCTACCTTTTGGGTGGTGGCATTTATCCAGGCATGGGGTCCTGGGGGTGTTTATACTAAAGTGTTAAAGCCGTAAGTATAATAGGAACCCCACACAGGTTGTTGTCGGCCGTTGTAGTCTCTGTCGAGGTTTCCTCAACACAGCACCAGCCGACGTCGCGGCCGCGTGGGCGACGACTGAACAGTAGGTGGGCGCCCTAGTAGTTAACTTGGGTTCAGAATTTCAGGTTGGAATTAAGTAGGGATTTAGGCTGACGAGTTTGGGACACCAGGGTTGCGATGCGTTTTCAAGGGGCTCTAGGCTTAGGGATTCAGGGAGTCAGAAGCCTGTAGAGCAACCTATACGGTGAGCTTAGACACTCCGAAATCCAAACCCCGACGCAGTCTCGATCCCTGATTTCCAAATGCCAGCCTGGACATTTCGATTGCATAGACAGGGCTTCCAGGGCATGTTGCGAAAATGCATTGTTAAGGCTGCGAGGCACTCCACCCCCCTCAAGCCCGAAACCAACAAAGCCGGGCCAGGTCTCAAGAATATGGCCTAATATGGCCTAATGTGGGCCCTAGAGGGGGCCCTTCTGGTCTTTGCTCGGGGTTTGGCTAGCTTTTTTCGTACCGCAAGTGCAGAGGCTAAGAATTCTGCGACGGGTGCCCATTAGCTTGAAGGCGAAACAACACCCCAAGCAACACCGGAGACCAGCCACACAGACCCCGTCTTTGGCAAGATGGCCGCGCTGGGCTGAAGCACCACCGGTCAAATGCTGCTGGGCTGCTGAACAAGGAAGTCCGTAGGCAGCGGCACGATGTGATCGGCCAGGTTGGTGATGATCACCTCAAGCCCATCCTACAGTGGGGACCTAGGTCTTCTCGCAGATCAGGCGCAAAAGGTGGGGATTTCTGCGGGTAGAAGCCCTGCTTTGCTGCTGACGGACACTCAGGGACCAGGTTCCTCGACTCGGCCTTCTAGCGAGAGTTGCTTCCCAAAGATGCATGTCACTTGCTCGCAAGTTGCGTGCTTCTCGGTGATGCTCGGGATGTTCGGTGTGCCGGAGAGGCGCATCACCTCGATCAGAGCATTGTAGAAGGGCGCAGTGTAGGTCAGCCCCGGTGTACCGCGAAAGCTGCAGGGCCGGAAGGCAGTACTGTAGCGGCGTAAGAATCCTGTAGCCTGAAGAAACTCAGATGTGGGCTGGGACTTAAGCTTAAACAAGGCTACTCGTAGCGAAGTGGTTGGTCGAGGGGGTGTTCTGACAGGAGCCGGCCAGGTGGTGAAGAGGGAGCCAGGGTTGAGTTTCGGGCTTTCTTCTAAGCCCCCGAGTGAAGGAACCCTAACCGGCCGCAGTAAGCCTGAACCCTGGCGCCGGAAACTCTCAATTCCAGACTCTTCGACTTCCCCCAAAGCGGCCATCTGGAGCTCGTCCTGGAGCATGTGAACCATTCGGACAATGCCGTTCCTGGCTCCAGGGAGCTGGCACGGTATTGATTTTCATTGAGCTGGGGCAGCTGGGAGCCCTGCTATCGGCTCGGGCCCTCGCCGTAGACCCTAAACTGAACTCGAACTCTAAGCCATGTCCGGGAAGGCCTGCCTAAAGCTCACAGGCCACGGTGTCTAAGCAAAATATTCCCTGCCTTCAAAGCCAGCAAACCTTCTGGTCCCAGGAAAGGTTGGGGTTCAGGGTTTTAGGGTTGGGCTGGTTAGATTTTTGGCAAAGTGCCGTCCTGAGACTACGGTTCTGGACAATCGGAGGATGATGCCATGCATGCTGGAGTGGCGAAACGAACAGCCAAACGCATGCCGATCATAACGCCGAAGGCCCGGGATGCAATGAATTCTATAGGAGCTTTACTTAGAATGGGGTTTTTGGGGCCCACTATACTATGATTCTATTAAGGAACATTGGTACTTATTTGGGCCCCATAATCGCATCACCTGAAAGATCGCCTTGAAAAGGTGGCCCAGAGGACATTCGGCGGCTATGGAAAATGAGCCCCGAAACCCTATTCTAATTTCCAAGGACCCTATATTGTAGTACCCTTCTTGTAACCCCTCTGTAGTAGATCCAACAGCATCGGAGGCATCCTGCCATAACCTTCGTTATCCCCTGCCTCTGTTGATAACTAGGCTCCTTTCAGGAACGGCACGGTCCTGATTACTGGGCGTGGTGACTTATAGGGTATCATGATATGCCAGACATGATGACATCAGAACCCGAAGGACACCAAGACGCAGACCCCCAAGATCATCCCGCCGTCACACCCCCAAAGTCCAAGAACCCAAAATCACAAACCCCGGAATCCAGAAACCTCCATCACTAACTAACCCTTAGAGAAACCCCCTATGAGAACCCCAATGGGAGCTGTTATGATAACCCTTTTTGTAGAAACCCGTGAGTGGCGGCCGAGCTTCATGCCGTAAGAGGCAAGGGAGTAAAGGACTGGGCGGCCCACACCCACTGCCTGGTCATGATCTACGCCGGGTGTAAGGACCAATCCTCGAGAAATGATAACAAGAACTACGACAATTGGAGCAACAATGATGGCAATGAGTTGCATGCTTGGATTTTGGGATAGACATGCTGTACCTTGTGATGTGTTCGCTTCATCCTTGTTGCTTTGTTGTGGTTCACGGACCAGAACCAAGGGCCCAAAGCCGCTTGACCCGCCTGCGCGCCCAACGCTACGGCCTTGAAGATATCGCCGCCACGGCGCACGCCGCCGTCGATGAAGACGGCGAAATTCTCCTGGTGATCAAATCGACGGTCACGATGAAGTGTTGATGATGCGGATGATGGTTGGAGGGAGGAGAGGGGTGCGAGGGTTGGAGGGTGGTGGAGGGTTGAGGGTTGGTGCAGGGTTGGAGGGTTCTCTCGCCCTTTCACTCTCTCTCTGTGTCTGGCTCTTTCTTTCCCCAGGCTTGAAGGCGAGCCCCCGCGGGAGCTGCCCGTTCGGTTGGAGGTTTGCATTGTTTTACGTGCGACTACTGTTCGGGCTGTCCGCAGGCTGAGCTTGTTACTCTCTCTCTCTCTCTCTCTCTCTCTCTCTCTCTCTCTCTCTTCTTCTCCCAGGCTTAAGGGGGCAGTTAGGCCCCCAGCCTACATTGTTTCGGTCTTCAACCATCTTTCAGGACGTTTGAATTTATGCATAGGTTTCTGCAGCATTCCCCAGAGTGTGCAGACGCGTATCGTAGGCCGCGACATACAATGATGTAGTGAACAGATCAGTGTGTTTGTTTGGGGGCCGCTGCACTATGCATATTTTTTGGGGGGTCGACGAATGTTTCCAGCATAACTATGCAACCTAACATTTGCAACTCCTACAGTACGTAGTAGTACGTAGCATCAGAACTCGCATGGAAATGTCAGTCCCCCCAGGTTTGAATTTTTTGCGTCGACCAGTTGCGGGAGTGCTTCGATGGCCGAATACTGCCATCAACAAACCGACAACACCTGGGACACAACGCACCTGCAAAAGGACCTACAACCCACTGCAACGCCAGTTTGGCCTACCGGAAGTCCGTCTGTATCCCCCAAGTCAACTGATCTCCACGCGCAAAACGGCTCAGCTTCCCGCTTCTTCCGTCAAAAGTAGAAACACCGGGCAGAATAAGGCTAGAGCATGATCGTATCAGGTCACAGGGTGAGGTGTGTTTCTTTGGAGTACAGCCGGGTTGAAACTTCTGGTAGTAGGGACATCGACCGATTGCTGGGAGCCGAACATCAAGTTTTTTCCCCGCACCTTGGACGCACTGCACCCACAGCAGCCCCTATACACCCCTAAGTGGATCCCCTCGGCTTCTTGCATATGGTCAGACAGGACCCCCTACCTCAAAGTGCTCGCAGTGCCTGCTTGGGTTTCTTTGCAGGACAGGGCAAAGGGCCACGGTAGCAGGACTACACAGAGCAGGGCTCGCTCTCTTCTTCCGCCGATTATGAGGGGCTGCTCGCTCTCTCTCACTCTCACTCTCTCTCTCTCTCTCTCTCTCTCTCTCTCTCTACCCGTTGACTGCTTGCATACTTGCCTAGTCATGTACATTTGCCAAATTTAACCGTCGAACCATTTCGATGCCCATGGCTGTATCTATCTATCTATCTACCTTTGCTGCTCTTGTGTTGGCGAAAGCTATCAACATCATCGTCGTCGTCGTCATCATCATCATCATCCAGCACCCGGAGCAGCACCGACTCAGCCCCGGATGCCGAGGTCTCTCCTTGGTGGCGCCAGCCTCTCGGAGCCCCTCCATGACCTCGGGGAGCACCTCAAGAAGAGAGTCGGGAGAAGGGGATGGGAGTTTCGGAAAATTAGGGGGTACATACTTTTGGGGTCCTTATAAGCCGGATCCTACTTGGAGCCAGATTCCTGGCATCGTAATGCTGAGAGTTGGGGGTTTATGGGTGTCTATGATACCTGTACTTTGTTTGAGGCTGGAGGTTTGGAGGGGTTTACACATGGCTGCTTTCGGGCCTTAGGATCCCCTTCTCTTAAAACCGGACCGATGTCTTGCGAACTTCCACAGAACTTACACGTCTTCGACCACACGTGATCCACAGCACCTACAGAAACCTGCAGAACCAGCAACAGCCCTGAAGGACTCAACAGAACACTGTAAAGCCTACTTGTGTGAAGAAGGAGCCTCAATGCCTGGGCGGCAGGTGTCCAACTGCCTCGCAGGTGGAAGCTCATGAACTCGATTTGGTGTGTTGGGGTCTGGGGTTTCGGGTTCCGAGCTATGGAATGCGGCTTCTTTAAGCGGGCTTGGGTGGTTTCAGATGAAAGGCGACACCGGGCAAAAGGCGCAGCTCGCGCCCAACCTCATACCGCGCTTACTGTAGTTCTCTCAGCCACGTAACTACACACCGAGGTGCTCAGAGCGAAGCAACGGTTTCTCACTCGCTTTCGCCAGAGCGCAAGGCAGCATGTAGGACTAAAGCTTGGAAAATGTGCTCAACCTCTGCAGAGCTTTCTGTGAATACGAACCACGAAGCGGGATTTCATGATATCACCTGCTCTCGCTTTAGCGAGGAAGGGAAAAGTGGTTGCAGTCGGTTGCTTATGCCGAAACATGAACACCCTGAACCCCAGACTAGAAAACCCCTGAACTCGAAACCCTCAAACCCAGACCCTTGACCCGACACCCTAGGTCCGCAAACCTCCAATCTGTCTTCAGACCATGTGTGCATGAGGGTTCAAGAATCATCCTACCGTAGTTGAAGGACACAAACCCAGATGGGACTAAGGATAGTCGCTTTGCCAGCAATATTCGTCTTGGGGACTCGCATGATTTGAATGGCTTCCGTGATTGTAGCTGCAACTACATTGCAAATAGCATCATCTTCTTGTTCTGAATACTTATCCTAATTTCAGTGCCAATACAATTTGTCATAAGAGCAGCAACAACCATGACAACAGTGATACTATTGCAACGAACTTCGCGATTAGTCCTGGAAGCTCGCCTGCCGCCGTGGTTGGACAGCACGCAGCCTGACAAACCAGCCTTGGCATGAGAGGGGCCTAGGGATTAGGGCGACTTGGGCTTTGAGGTCGAAGGTTTGGCGATTCAGGTGGGTGGTCGGGACTGGGCTGCCAACTTGAAGATGATGCAGCGGCTATGCAAGAATAATTGTACCATGTTTTGATGCGTCTGGACTACGGCAATCTATAGACAAATATCATTGTAACCCGGCATGAGAGCAACTTGATGACTCAAATGTGCCTTGTAAGCGGACACGGCATCCTCGGCACACTGCACGCCCTTCAGCAGCACCTCTTGCACAGGCGCGGTTCAGGGTGTGATTACGTCGGGCGTTTGTGGGAGACCCACCTCAGTTCAGACATCGTATGGTTTAGTGTGCAAAATGTTCTTAACATGCCTGCGGGGGCATTAGCAATAGCTCTCCACGGACTGCAGGTCATGGTGGATGAACCTCGACAGTAATGTTCGGTTTTGGCCAGGCTGTCTTGGATCACGGGAAGATGAACAATGAAGCGAAACGAACCTCCATTGAATACGGTCTGCATGTGAGGCAGTTCTGGCGCACACTTCAGGCACTAGAGCATGTGGGGTTTCTGTGAGGCTGTCTTCGCTGCCGATCGGCATGGCCTCATATCGGGCGACCCAAAGCAAGTGGTCGGTTGAAGGGGAGCTTACTACAGCCACAGCAAAGGTCCTCGGAAGTGGCTGGGCAAGAGCCAGGAAATGAGGCCGGAGCCAGGAAACGCCAAGGTTTTTCGGGGAAGCCAGGAAACAGCAGGATTCATTGATGGCTCGTCCCAACTCCGGAAAGAGCCAGGACTGCGACAGTCCTTTCGTGGTGCAAATGTGACAACAAAAGACGCCGGGTCTTGGATCTGTACCTTTAGAACCACTCCATGGGTGCCCTCTAGGTACCGGAAAGGCCTGATGCCAGTCGCTTAGCTTCGCCTAGGCTACTAGGCTACGTGTATGCATTCTTCTCGCAGTCAAATAGATCCAAGTGTTTAGGAACGGGGGTTTGAGGACGCGCATGGAAGGGTTTTGTGGTTTGGATCTAAGCTCAAGTTCGGGAATCCTAAACCCTCAGTACTCAAACACTATACTGCACGTCCGACCTTCATCTTCGTGATGCTCTTGAGCCACGGCACGTCCTGACATCACCCAGCTTGCTGGAGCCAGTGCACACTTTCGGGGCTTGGGCCTCGGGGCCGTCCCCCAAGCCCTAACACCTGCTCCCTGGACGAAACCTGAAAGATCCAAGACTGCACGCTCATGGTCTTTGTGGACGAGGTGCTGTTGCTGCAAACCCAAGCCCTCGTGCGTGAACCTTCAAGGATCCTACCAACACCTGCCAGATCTGACTGTCTAAGCCGCGGCTCCTCCCAGTTGAGGCCTGGGTCGATGTAGCCTGTGATCTGTCTAAGGCTTGGGGCAGAAAGTTGTGAGATTTAGGGCTCAAGATTTGAACTCGCAGGGCCTACATCCCTCAACCCGATGCCCCACGCCGAGCGATCCGGATCAGCATGGTCCTAAACCTTTCACCCTGAACACTCAAGGATACACACCCAAGCCGAACTCGCACAGTTGCGCAGAGTTGCTGCTGATGGCACGGGTAGCACCCTGAGAACGGTCCACAGCACCTGCTCTGGAATTGGCTTCACGGAGGTTTCAGCGGCCCTTATGTTAAGGGTCCTACTAGTCGGGCCCTACATTACGGGACCCTTCTGTTCTGCAACGTCCGTCCATGTCAGGGCTCAGGATTTAGGAAGTCAGGATCTACCCTTCGATGAAATGATGATGGACTCTAAAGATGTGCGTTCAGGTGCGTTGGGAGCCAATTGGCATGCTTCCGATTCCTCCAGGCTTGCGACGGCTTGCGAGTTTTCTTGCAACAGACCTGTGGCTTCTTCTGCGCTTTATGGGTATGTGCATGGTGCTTTGGCTCAGGAGTTCGAGAATCGTATGTTGAGCGCCGCGAGGGTCAGTGGGTATCGGAGCCCTTGGCGCAGGCTTCGAGATTTTGCAGGGTGTTGCAACAGGGGAACGGAATCTTCCTGATTCCTGAGACCTGACAGGTGCAGGCACTAGGTGCAGGGCCATGACTGCAATTAACTGATGACAACTCTTCTTAGTCCTGCGATGCTCACGACCATGAAAGACATCGTCACCACGACCATGATCATGAGGACGACTATGGCCATGATCAGGACGATGGTGTGTTCATGCTCAAGCGAAAAGCCTTACTGCTACCAGAACCAGGCATGATCTCGAGCTCTCACAACAGCAGCGCACCGTCATCCTCATCGTCGCCCTGGACATCGGAGCCCTGCTGGGTGAACTTGTTCCTGCTATGTCTGGCTTCGCTTGAGCGCGCTCTAGAGAAGGCTCAGGGATTCAAGGGATCCTCAAGGGACTGCAGGGCTTGAAGGCAGGGCTACGGGCTAAGAACGTGTCCAGGGGCGTCGAGGGCCTCCAAAGAATTCAGTGCATTCCAAAATCGAGGCTTGGGGGTGTCACACCCGTAGGGCTTTGGGCCTTTTGGGGCTTCATGCTTCGCGTTTGGGGTAAAGGCTGCTGCTCGTATGTAACTTCTCAGTTTGAGAGAGACAGCCCTGCTCCCGAAAGCCTCAACCAATCTCTTCCTAGGCCCCAAAACACTGAATCACGAATATAGTGGGTAGTTAGAATAGGGCTTTGGGGCCCATTATACTATATAATACCAAGGAACCGCCAAAATATTGTTGGTAATTGTTTAGGCCCCGAAAGTTAACCTTTTTACACCGAACCCGGCCAAAAGCGCTCCACTCCAGGGCCGGCCTCATGTCCTTCTCGCGGCGGCCGAGCTGGGGTGCATCCACGGTGACAAAGAGCGCCTTGCAGCTTTCCGGCGGAGATTGCAGTAGGGGTTTATGGGGGTGGCGATGAATCCATGAAGGAACGAAGGGGGGAGGGTAGTGCATTTCAAGGAAGGGCCTTGGACCATAAATCTGCGAAAGTGCCTGCATGATCCAACCAGACGAGACGTAGCAAGAAGAGCCACTGCTTGGACCGCGGCGCTTGCTTCGAAGCAGAAAATGAAAACTCCGGAGCTCAACCGAGCGCCTTGACGCCCGCGTCCTCCAGCTTCTTGACGTACTCCTCGGACCTCTGGAGACATGAGAAGCGATGCGCTGGCTTACAGCACAGCTCAAGGGCTTTCTGGGTTCAGGATCAACTCTACTCCCCTCTACTCCCTAAAACTCCCGAGTTTCGGAATGGCAGACTTGTAGAATCTCTGTTGCAGTGCCAGAACTCACCGGCTCCACCTCGAGCGCTCTGGGTTCACGTAGAGCTGGGAGAAGACCTGCTGGTCCGGGGTCCTGATAGGAAAGAAATGAGCCACTTTGTATGGCTTTAAAGCTGACACCTGGTCCGTAGGCCCAAACCGAGACCTCTGTGTAGGTCTTGGTGGGCATCATACCAGAAGTGCAATAAGAAATCCTGAGGAATGTTGGTAGTTTGCCCGGCCCCTGGACCTAATGTGGGATTCATCCCAGAGCCCCGTCCGTGCAGCCAGCATCTCATCGAGTGTGTAGGAGCTCAGGGTGGGAAGCCTGGGTGCTGGGCTCTTGGGGCTTAGAGTTTGGACGAGTTTAGGGCTTGAGTCTTGCGGCTTCTGCTTGTGGGTAGTGGAGGTTACGGGCTTGGGCTTTCAGCTGTTTGAGTTCGGTGGGTTTCCTTTCTCTCATCTCACTTCGACCGCATCTTCTGGCACTAGATGTACTTGAAGCAGCACCGCTCATGAATTTATCTTAATAGTAAGTCAATCAACTTGGTTGACCCTGGGTCTGCCAGGCTATTCTCGGAGAATTGGGCCTCCTTTGCCCTTCCGGGAAGTCCTTCCCCGGAAGCATCAGCTTTCGGGTTTGGCGCATCAGTTTAGGTTCGTGGTTTTTGCGATATTAGGTTTATGGATCTGGGGCTGTAGAGCTTTAAGACCACGGATGGGTGGAATGTGCATTTGCTGGGAGCCTTTCCTGTTTCCTATGGCGGCGGGGCTGAAGAGCGAGGAGCGCGCCCGGTACTTCTGACCAAGGATCCTTTCGTTTCAAGTTTTCAGGCTCCTGATATGGCGAGGGCTCCGAAAATAAGGGACCCTAAGATACTACCCTAAATAGTAGGATCCTTATTATAAGGAAGCTACCCCTAGTTTTCGGAAACTCCCCTGTGGCGAGGGCTCCGAGCTCAGGGGTTCGAAGAGACGAGCCGCATGTAGGGCACGCCAGCCTTCTTGGCCGCCTCACATGGGGCTTTGGCAGCTTAGGGTTTAGGGTTAAGGGTTTAGAGTTTTAGGGTTTAGGGTTTTAGGGTTTAGGGTTTTAGGGTTTAGGTTTCAGGGTGTAGGGAGAAACCAAGAGCTTCCTGCAAGGGCTCGTTCCTTGCTCCTGTGCGCGGATACGAGTAGGAGAGTTCCGCTTCATGGTCGGATGTTGGGTTGCACTTTTTGGGATCTTGAGTGCATGGAAATCGCCTTCTGCAGGAATGACCCGGAACCCCAAACAGGCATCGGGAAGCGTCCCAGCCTTCACAATCGCCACCTCTCCGTCCTGACCAGGAGATCGTGAGTTGCAGTACATGTCCGAGGCACTGAATTTCTCTCTTTCATTCAATAGTAGTAGTAGTAGTAGTAGTAGTAGTAGTAGTAGTAGTAGTAGTAGTAGTAGTAGTAGTAGTAGTAGTAGTAGTAGTAGTAGTAGTGGTAAGTAGTGGTAAGTAGTTGTAGTAGTTGTAGTAGTAGTAGTAGTAGTAGTAGTAGTAGTAGTAGTAGTAGTAGTTCTTGAACCAGGCGACTTCCGGTTCAGGGTCGAGGCGAGATTCTGCTTGAGATGTATGGCTCACGGGCGAGGAAGGCTGCGTTCTTCGCGGCACAGGCTCCTTATGCCAGAAATAGAACCTCAAGCACCCTCACCTGAATCCCTGTAAAGCCCTTCACCTTCCAGAATCCTCAGGGCTGCGACCCCCAAATCCTGGAATCCTCAATGACTCGCTCTTAAAGCCCTCAATGACTCCTCAATGGCTCAAGAGCAACACTTGGCAATACCGAAAATGCGGCCCCTGTGCCTGGTGAGCAAGCTTCGCCAGGGCCGTGGCTGTGAAGTACCTTTGGGGGTTTAAGTTTAAGGGTTCAAGCTTTTTGTCTTTTGCTTTTAGCGTGTTGAGGTTGGGTGTTTTGGTCTGTTGGCTTTGGGTCTTGGGGCTTAGGTCCTTGTGGAGCTGTAGGTCAGTGGGGCTCGAAGCAGCATTTGCTTCAAGCAGGATTGTAGGCTGTCGATTGCGAACCGGTCGAACGTTTGTTGGGTTGAGTTGTCGTCAAGTTTCGCCTTGGTGTGTGTCTGGATCTTATCTGCCTCCTTCAGGCCTTCTGCAGGGCTTCTGGTTTAGGGTTCAGGCCGGCTTGTCTAAGAAGCTGCGGTGCTCCCCAGATACATCGATAAATCCCAAGCCCTATGGGGTTTTGGGTCCTGGGTTCCCTGAAGCCGAAAGCCCCGCAGCCCCAAACCCGCGATTTTCGCTTCCGAAACCCGATGCGCTTGGATGCTCAAACCGCCGATGCTGAGCCTGCTTTCCGGGGTTGGGGGCCGCGCTCTCGGCTGATGGGATGCGGCTCCGGCCCCTGTATGTTTCAAAACCTGCGCTTAGGACCTAGGACCATCCGCAATGCTGAAGCCCGAAGTCAAGCTTTGTAGCATCGAAGGTTGTCGACTTGATGCAGACCCAGCTGCAGGGGCACAGATGCTGGGACACCTCGGAAGAAAGGGCATCCTATCTACGTCGCATTTCATCATGCTCGATCTGCTACCCTGATACGCTAAGCCACAGCCAACACTACTAAAGTCGAAATGGTCACACGGCCTGCGACATCACTAGGCTCTTTTGTCGAGCCCGGGTTCACGCTTCATGGTAGTGCTAGTACACGAGAAGATTGAAGAAGCAGAAGAAGAACGACATCATACCTTGAACCCAAACATTACACCCTGAGCCGGCCATCAACCACTGAGTCCTGCACCAACATTCCAAACTCTCCATACAAGCCCAGCCAACCTGAACCTTAAGACCGTGCTCCAAAGCGGAAGCTGTGTATGGACCAAACTGACCACTGAAGCTTACAAACCCTCAACCTTGAATGCCGCACATTCGCACTATGATCGGGCAATCTCAAACCATCTCACCACTCTTACTTAGCCCCCGAAACCCTAAACCCCCGAACCCCCAAACCCCAAAACCCAAACCTCAAAGCGTCAAGTGGCCCAGGATGTGAGTGGTCATGTCGATCTCCTCAGCGCCCGGGCGTTTGGGGCTTGAGGCTTGCAGTTCGAGGTTTTGGGGGGTTTGCTTAGGGAGTCGGGCCCCTAGTCTAGGGATGAAGAATAAGCGGCGCGACCTGAAGCTCAGGGTCTGGAGTGTTAAGCCTGTTAAGCTTATGCCCAGTACCAACTCTCTTTGGGGTTTGGCTGGTTTCTCTTCGCGTTTCTAACCGTGCGCCGACGAATAAGCGGAAGACTCTGTTTAGCCATTCTGCATCAGACAAAGCCACTGTAAGCAACATCAATGCGCCAAGATACCGGACCCTCCGCATCCTGACACTGCAAGAGCAAGCCTCAAAGAAACAAAAGCAAGCCATGTGTAAACTCTAGGCCATGCAGCCCTCAAGGTTACTACCGAACCCGAACCGAAAAACTCGACGATCCAGCAGAGCGGTGTCTTTCCCTCTTGTTTGAGCAGGTATCCCGCACGTTCACCAAGATCCGGGGGCGCATCGTGATGCGCTGGAAGGCCTGGGACTTCCATGGTGTCGCTGCTTCTTACCACGTTGTAAGCATGAACTGCGACCTTCCTCGTCAGCATGGCTACAATCCGACGGTTCGCGCTTCAGGCATTGGGCGCCAAACCCTAAAACCAAAGCCGACCCCAAACCCGAAACCAAGATGTTTAATAGCCCTTCACCTAGACCTCCGACCTCTCAACTCTAAACTTGAAGCCAGGCCCTCTGGCCGGAAAGCTCTCATAAGTCCGATCTAATGTCAACCCAAAAAAGCTGAAGCCTATAGTCCTAAACTCCATTCTCTCGGACTTAAGTCCTACACCCGTTCAGATGAGTTGAGGATGCAGGGTTTTGGCAGCAGCATGGTCCAGGGTTCAGGCTGTAGGGTTTGGGGTTTGCAAACCTTGGATGTAAGGTGATGCACACATTTTCAATGTGGAGATGTATGAGCCTTGAGTCATCTCGGTGAGCGCGCACGTTTTGGACTTCCTGCGGAACGATTCGGAAGTTGAAGGCTTTGCCATTCTTTGCGGAGGTGTTCGACTGCGGAGAGGCTTTGCCATCTCCAGGCGGACAGGTGCCAGCAATCAGGCAAGCTGGCCTATAGTGTGGTATGATATAACACAATGTATAATACAATACAATGTAGCATAGTAGAATATCATGTAAGTCTTGACGATCAACGGTGATCGGGTGATCAAGAGAATCATTTCAGGATGCTTGGCGCGTCGCACATGCACTCCTTGGCCTGGTGGCCCCTCAACTAATGAGGGTCCGGAATTTGAGCGCAGGATCTCCAGGAAAAAATCAAGCCGGCGGATAATCCTCGCACGACTTTCAGCCTGCGGGTAGTCGTTGAGAAGAGACTGCCCTTACAGGACTACTCCAAGTGTTGGTGCACCTGGTGCTGAGTGTTCAACAACATCTCAGCAGTGTTGGTGCACGTTGATCAGGGGCCAAGGTCGATCATCCTCACTTTTCCGCGCACTTCAGAAGGGTGGATTTCATCAGCGAGAGAAGGTCGAGACGGGCACCCAAAAATTTTTACACCGTCCACAAACTCTCCCATGAAATCGATCGCACCGTCCGCCAAGTCCTTGGATTTGTCGACGAGCTTGTCCTTCACCACATCCATGGCTTTCTTCAAGTATTTCGCAAGTTCGCAGATGCCGAACTCCATGGCTGCCGCACTGTGCGATTAAGCACGGAGATTTTAGAGCAACTACTCAAGCTTCGAGCAGCTGGCAAGTTGAAATCACATTCTTGCAACACTTCCAAGCCAAAAAGCAGCACCATCGCTGCCAACCCTCATGTAGATCCCGCATCCGAAAGTTTTTGGAAAAAATCACAAACCGGAGACAACGTGGAATGCTAACATGGCGTTCCAGGACAAGTTCAAGTCAGAGCAAGAAACCCTGTTTAGTCAAATCGCGACATCGAACTCGAGCTCAAGAAGTCAATGCTGTCTTCTCGCGCAATTCTCTGAAGGTCACCGTATGTGCAAGCCAGAGGTCAGTAGCCCTCAGGAAGGAGAAAATGAGAGGTCGCAAATGATTCTACAAGTAAAAACCTACATAACACTCCGTACTGCAGTGCTCAAAACCTTGAAGGAAAGCTGTCCGAAAGACTCCAAGGCCCCTTCATGAAGGAATATAGCTTCAGCTTCCGAGGGATCCTTCATTGCTTTACGGGTTCTTCCTCGATTCAAGGGCGTTTTTTCGTCTTGCGGGTCCAAGGAACCAGGTGGTTGTCCCGGAGCGTGATCTCGTCATCGCCGCCCGAGGAGTAATATCCCCAGGCCTGTGGCTCCATGACCTGCAAAGCTCAAAAAGGCAGCAAACCTCCAAGAGCAGTGAGAGTTTAGGTTCTGATGTGCTTTTTGAAGTGCACTGGCCCTTTCTCCACGAAGAATGCAGGTCTGGAGCCTGCCACCCAAGGGGGCTTACACTCTGTCTCTGAGCTCAGTGAACTCCTTACCAGCCCACAAAGAGCAAGAGAAACGACACATCCATGCATCACCGCTGGTTCTAGGGTTTTAGGTTTTAAGGTTGCTTTGCTGTCCGGGGTTCTGACGTCTAGGGTTCTTGGTTTAGAGTTCAGGGTTCCGCGAGTTAGGTCTTGCAGTTGACGCTTGATCGGGGATCCTTGTTCACAGCGGGAGCAGCTGGTTTCTGCGTTGCTAGACCCCAAACCCCTAAAAAAAATCCCTAACCCTAAACCCTAAACCCTGAACCCCTAAACCCTAAACCTGTAACTCTAAACCTCAAGGGCCCAGACTGGCCCTAAACCCTAAACCCTAAAAACTAAAACCCTGAGACTTCGTCAACTCGAGAATGCCGGACCTCGCGGGCGACGCTCTCGAAGTCGAAGCTGTTCAGCATGGCATTCCTATTGTTTTAAGTTAAGGCTTTGGGGTTTAGGGTTTAGGGGTTTAGGGTTTGTGGTTTAGAGTTTAGGGTCTGGGGTTTTAGGGTTTAGGCAGTGCTTTCGGCTTGAACGGCTTTAGTGTTGAGGCTTGGGGGTTCAATGGCTTTGGAGTTTCGGGTGAGATTTAAGGCTTTGGCATTGAGGTCCTGAGAGATTTGGGCGGGTTTCCGGCTTTGGGGTTTGAGCGCTGCGGCTTTGGGGTTCAAGGGTGGGGCTGCGTGTTGGAACCTGATGCTGCTGCAAATTCGTGCGTCTTGCTGCTTGAAGTTTCTCTTCTTAGACAGGGGCGGCCCTGAAAACCTCCCAAACGTCCGCGAATCCTGGTACCCAAAGTCTTTGGGGTGGGGTTTAGATCTCGACCCAATCTGATGCATGCACGGCCCACACAGCCTCCGGAAGACGCCTCGCAGGACCTAGAGTAACTGTGCGAATGTCTGGAGCGCGTAAAACGAGAAACCACCCGAATCTTGGCACCTCGAAAGCAAGGAACCACAGATCCTAAACCCTGTTTAACCCTGAACTCCCCCAAACCGCAAAAAATATCTGAATCTTGCAAGCATTATGCCACTGAAGCTCCAGAAGCCTCGAAACCCCGAATACCAAAGCCAAAGAGCACTGCGCCCCTGAACAGCAACAAGCCCCAAGTCCAACACGAACTGAGCGGCAGAGGTGGTTTCTTGAACTCTTCAACCTCCTCCTCGGCCTGTACCAACATCTTATTCGGCGCTGCTGGTTGCATGGTTCACTGGCTTAGGGCGTCTTGGGATTGTACTGGTTTGTGCCTTGAGTATTCTGGGTTGTTCGGGACTGGAGTGTGCGGGTGTTTGTTTAGGATCTGGGTTTAGCATTTTGGAGTTTAGCATCTGGACTTCATTCAGGTAGCATTGCAGGCTTGACTAAGCTATCTTTGACATCTACAGCAAGGATCAAGGTGCCACGCCCGACGCGCTTTGGGATTTCAATCTGTGCTTCCAGTATCCGACAGTAGATCCCCACGGGAATCACTACTCCTAGACGTGCCTCTGAGCCCTGCAGCCCTAACCCATCCTACCCTAAAACATAGCCACAGAGACTCCCGCAACTCTGATTTGCGAAGGACGAGCCGCCGTGGGCACCCGGCGGAAGCAGGGGAGGGCCTCTGTGGGTCACCTTACCCCTTGCCTTCAACACCCTAACAACCCTGCAACTCTGGCCCTTCTCGCACCTTGGATTTCTAAAGCATGAGCCTGGAGTCCAATGCTTAAAGCATCTTTGGAAGCCACCTTTGCTTTGCAAGGTGTCGGCCTCATTAAGCTGGGTCAGCTCTGGAGATAGAAACACCCGTGACCTTCGGCTTGCAGTAAGGCTCGTAAGTTTTGCTCCAACCAACCTGGACCCAGGGGAAAAGGGGTGCCACCGCAACTGGGCTTTCCCAGCCTGTGGCAGCCTGTGCCTGTCTACCAAAACTAAATCTTTTTGGCCCTCCGAGTTTCAGGATCGAAGTCTGCAGGGCCAAACCCCGCTCTGATTTCAATGTGAGTTCCGCACTCACTGGACCTGCTCGAACTTCAGATCAACATCCGCCATGCTCACGTCGATGGACCCGGTCCTCACATTCAGGCCTGAAGCAACCCCAGCACGAAAGCTGGCTCCTTGGTCCTCCGCAGAGTTGAAGAACCTTGCTTGAGGTGTCCCAGGCTTGTGGACTCCAGGGATCATGTCCTTTAAGACGAAGCTATCTGAAGTAACGTGTTGTAACGTGATGTGGCGTGATGGGTTGTAACATATGGCTTTGTAACGTATTGCAATGTAATGTGAGGCAATGTGATGTATCGTACGGCAGTGCAACACAACGTCATCTTATGCAATACCATGCGATGTTATGCACATAGCAGGTCACGACAGGCCATGTCATACCACACCATGTCATGCCATGCATGTCATGCAATGTAAAATCACGTGGCATGCCGTCATGTAGTGTACCGTGCTGTGGTGTAACGCAATGTAGTGCAATCCAAGGACGCGCAGCATCGTGCTATGTCATATAATGACTCTGTTGTGCTGAAACGTGACGTAATGTAATGTCATGTGATTCGAGGTGACTGACCGTAGTGACGTGCACTGTGATGTGAGCATAGGGCAGCATGTGTAACTGTATTGTACTGTGACGTTATGTTATGCGATGCCATGTCTTGTCCTTTAATGATGTCACCCTGCGGATATGCATGCAATGCCATGTGACATCATGTCGTGTCCTGCAACTGTAAAGTGATGTAGGGCCTGCCATGTGATGTATCAGAGCTTAATGCAATGCAGTGTATCGCAACATAATGTAACCGACAGTAATGCCATAACATATCATGCAGTGTCGCTGAATGTAAATGCAACTGTAAATGTACCGCAACGGAATGCAGGGCAATGTAATGTAGTTTGGTGTAATGTAGGTCAATGTCATGTAGTTTACTTCATGTACTGCACGCAATGTAGTGGAAGAGTGTGGCATGGCATGGAATGGAATGGTGTGCATGCATGGATCTATGTATTTATGATTTATGTGTGCACGCAAGCATGCGTGCATGCGTGCATGTTTGCACACGTACATACATTTATACATACGGACAGACAAACACATACAGACAGACAGTCAGCCAGCCAGCCACCCAGCCAGCCAGGCAGGCAGGCAGACAGACAAGCATGTATACATGCATGCATACATACATACATGCCTAAAAAAACTTACATAGCTACAACATGCATTCCTTCGTTCATTCATTCGTTTAGTCGGTCGCTCTTTCGTCCATTGTTTCCATAACATTACATTCATGCTCTCTTTCAACTCTTTCAAAAGTTCAATCATATGACCTTTTCGATCCTGCATTCACTCATTCGTTCACACCCACGCCTTCATTAGCACGTTCTTTCTGTCATTCGCTTGTGATGAGACACTCTACACACTGACACCGACCCCAGACCAAAAAGACAAAGATGAACCCTAAACGAGCTTCTAAGAGCGGCCCTGCGGCAACGTCGCTTTGTGCACCGAGGGTGGGGCACCGATGGAAAAGAAGTTGAATGCCACCACCTCACCTTGGTGTAGGGACTTGGTTTCTTAAGAATTGGCGGGCAAGGGCTTGGAGGATTAGAAGTTGGGCGTATGACCTTTCGGCGGTTCAATGAACCGACATGTTGGATTTGATCGTTAGAGCCCTCTCGCAGCACACCCAACCCGAAATCTTAAACCCTAAAATCCCAAATCCAGCCCAAATGCCGAGCCCCTGCACCCCAAACCCCAAAACCCTAAAACCCTAAAACCCTAAACCCTGGCCCAAGCCGCCAGCCCCAGGTGCCTCACGAGGGAAAACGGCTTCACACTGGGAGCTTTCTAGATCCAAAGAACCCTGGAATATCAGACCCTGAAACCCTACATCTTAAATCCTCAACCCCCAAATCGAAATCTCAACACATTAATCCTATTTACACTCTCAACCCTGAATCCTGATCAAAACCCTCTGAAGACAAAATCCCCCGACCTGGTTTCCGAAAAGAGTGAGGCACCTAATCTAGACGTGAAAACTGCGTTGAACCTCATGAGCAACACAGATTCTCTGTAGATGGGCCGCTATAAGCACCTTGTAGCCCTTCCGCAAAAAAATAAGACTAAGACATAGAACCAATGAAGTTGCAACATCACCCGAAGTATGCCTTGGTACAGCCAAGCCACAGTTCTCGTCGAGAGTCCAGGTGTTTGGCTTCGCACCCTCGACGAAGTCCCCGGTGCCAAATCCTGCCCGACTTTCAATGCGGGTTGGGCTCCGGGCCCCAGTCAGGGCTTGATCCCCAAGCCCCAACCGCCAAATGCTAGTCACCTCACTAACCCCGGTCCCAGACGCCCAAACCGTACACCCCCGGCCTTGCGTGTTGCTTAGAATCTCCACTGATGTTGCAGGTCGCGGGATGCCGTCGCACTCAAGCCCACGAACGCAGCCTTCCACGGACCCGCCATCATTGAGAGCATTCCTGGGTAGCAGGGGGGGGTTGACGGCTACCCTAGTTTGGCGAATATGCTTGTTGTGATGGCGAGTAGGGCCTGTACTGGTGCACGATCCCTAGCACTGCTTCTCCATTGATTGGCAACACTGGCACGATTCCAAGTGCTGCTGCTGCTCCTGCTACTTGTCTTGCTACTGCCGCTGCTGCTGTTGCTTCTGCTGCGCTGTCGCTGCTGCTACACTGCCACTGCCGCTGCCACTGGACCTGCACTGCCACTGCCACTGCTACTAGTACAGCCGGCTGCTGCCCCGCTGCTGGTGCTGCCACTACCGCCGCAACCACTGCTGCACTGCTACAGCTACTGCTACTGCTACGGCGACGACCACTACTACCAGCACCTCTGTGCGAGTCCTGCTACATCCACCGTAATGACAGCCATGACGACTGCTCATCACATCATTGATTCTGATGTTTTTTTGCCTCTGGTGGACCCAAGCGGGAGAAATTCTCCTGTGCCGCTGGGGCTCTTAAAGGAGAAGCTGAAGCTTCCAGCTTCGCACACTGGCGCCTTGCTGGAGGTCCTGCTATTGAGAGCTTCGGATCACGGGCTTAGCTTACAGGTCTAGGATGGGTGTTCAACCTGACAGTTAGGGCTTAGGCTCTCCGGAGGTCCTGGTGGCGATCATTTCGTGCTGCCGGCTCGGCTTCGCTGCCCGTTCTTGAGTGGAGACGAAATGCCATCCTCGCCAACCTTTGACCCACCGCCCTGGCTGCCCCGGCTGCCGTGGCTGTGCCGGAACGGCCGCTGCCCGCTGGCGCTGGTCTGCCCGCTTGCCCGGCCTTTTCTTGCGCCATCCCAATCGTCCCTTCCAGGCCTTCCAAATCTTGAACCCCTTGCGCCTCCTTTTCTTGCGATCATCTGAACGTGCGAAGCCGGAGGAAGGGAAGTAATGACCGCTGACAGAGGCTTGTAGCAGTGACGTCTCCTCACACGACTCCGGAGCTGCACAAAGGTCCCTGCTCCGGTCCGGCATTCCCCAAGCATGGCGCAGGAAGCACCAAAGCACAGGCAGCAGAGCTGCTCTCGCCATTGCGTGTTCGGTATCAGGATGATGGATGGCGGAGGGCACAAACGCTTGGGCCGTCCTGTGGCTTAGCATGGTTCCTTGCTTTTGTGATTTGGGGCGTGAACTTCTGGAGTTGGGCTCACATGTATCCTACCTGATGACCGTGCTGGTGGTGGCGGTAGTGCTGATGCTGGTGGTGCTGGTGGTGGAAGTGGTGGTGGTTGTTGTCGGTGGTGGTAGTGGCGGTGGCAGTGGTGCTGGTGCTGGTGGTGCTGGTGATGTTTTAGGTGTAGTATTTTGTGCATGGTCAGTGGTAGGTAGTGAGTGCAGGTACTCGGTTTGTAGTCATAGCAACGGTAGCAGTAGTAGCAGAAGCAACACTGGTAGCAATAGCAGCAGTAGTAGCAGTAGTAGGAGTGGTAGCAGCCGTCGTCGTCGTCGTACCAGTACCAGTACCAGTACCAGCACCAGTGCCGGTACCAGTAGCAGTAGCAGTAGCAGTGGCAGTAGCAGTAGCAGTAGCAGTAGCAGCAGTAGCAGCAGTAGCAGCAGTAGCAGCAGTAGTAGCAATAGTAGCAGTAGTAGAAGTAGTAGAAGTAGAAGTAGTAGTAGTAGTAGTAGTAGTAGTAGTAGTAGTAGTAGTAGTAGTAGTAGCAGCAGCAGCAGCAATCGTTAGAGGAAAACTATTGTTGTGGTAGTAGCGGTGGGTGGAAGGTAGTCAACAGTGAGCAGTAGATAGTTGGGAGAAAGGCATAAGTAAGAAGTAAGCAGTAAGTAAGAAGTACTAAGTAGTACGTAGTACTGTATGCTAAATGTGTTGAGAAGCGAATGTAAGTGTGTTGTTGTGGCTGTGGCCATAGCCGTGTCTGAGGCTGCGCTGTGGGGCTGGTCGCGGCTGTGGTTGTGATTATGAATGTCGTCGTAGTTGCTTTTTGTTGTGTTGCTGCTGCTGCTGTTGTTTTAGTGAATACCGTTTAGTGAACGTCTCTAATACGGCTTTCTGAACATTGTGTTCAATGCTTGGACCGTGTTGATGCTCATTATACAGGCTGATGTTCTTAGCCCGCTGCACCTCGCAGTCATAGCGCGCTGCGCCATCGGATGTGGCGGCGATGCGCACACATCTTGCTCTTAACAAAACAGTCTTAACCGACAAACGACGAGAGTGCTGCGAACTCGCACTTGCCCCGCACCTAGCGAAAAGTACGAAAAGTGTAAGTAGCTGCCGCGCCTCATCCGTCACGGCCTTCTTCTTCTTGGGTGCTGGCTTGTGAGCCTTTTGCAGGGATGATGAGTTTGCATGTCGGCAGAAGGAGGTTCAGAGGCTTTGATTAATGAAAGGAGAAGGGTTCCACACCTCTGCCCCAGAAGCTTGGCGCACCCAACGAATCCTCAACTCTCAAGGACCGCCAGCATCATCATCGCGGTTCTCTGAATGCTGATCATCCGGGCCAACAATCATGCATGTGCGATGAAATCAAACTAATAATCACAGTCATACGCCTAAGCAGAGAGTAAGTCTTGGATTTGTCAGCGGCCCAGACCTGACCCCGAAGCCATATACCAATTCGATGAATCGAAACATCATGGCTCTGGCGTTGGCAGTTTCTCGATGACGTTTTTCGAGAAACCGCCAGAAGATTCAGATTCATTGTGCTGGAGCCGGCCAGAGCCTCAATTAGCGAAGGCGACACCCTAAAATCTAAACTTAAACTCGGAACCGTTCCAATGTCAAAATCTTCCAGGTGCTACTGATTCGGCCAGTGCTCCTGGCACTGCTACAGCTTGGTGTAACTACTAGTGCTTCCTGCTGCTACTGGTAATGTTTCTACGGTTGTGGACACGGCCAAAACCACGACCACCACCACCGCCACCGCCACCACCAACAACAACTACTACTACTACTACTACTACCACCACCACCACTGTTACCACCACAACAGCCATCTCTACAGTTTGTTGTTCTACAATTCCGTGATGCTTTAGAGACAGCACGTTCTTTGCCTCAGGCGGCTTTGCCACATGCTCTGGCTTGATTGTCGCCGCATCAACGACGCCCATCGTCCTCATGCGAGCAATAACCCGGCACGACAACCAAAACCCTGAAGCGCCATTCCAAAAACCCCACGCCACAAGACGCTGAATTCTTCCCGAGATTTGGAACTTCAGAGTGAGTTCTTGGGTTTGCCAGGCTTGGCTGAAGTCCGTTTTGATTGGCCCTGTTCCCTCCACTCCTCAAAGTTCAGAGCTTGGGGCTACCCTAAACCCTAAACCCTGGATTTGCTCGGAATTGTTCGTCCACTGGCAGGGGCTCAAATGCAAAGCCCTAAAGCCCTAAAAACCCAAAAGCCTCAAATCCCCCAAAACTCTGAAGCCCTGATGCCCTAAAACCCTAAAGCCCTACTTGCATAAAACCCTGAAGCCCTAACGCCCCAAAAGCCCTGGAGCCCTACGCCCTAAAAGCCCTAAAGCCCTGAAGATGATCTCTGCCCCTCCCCAGGCTCGCTTGTCAGGTCAAGCCACAAGGCCGGCTTCAGGAGCTTGTCCATGATGTCCTGCATTTGTGGAGAGTCGAAGATTCTAAGATGGAATACTTAATGGGATACTGACTTAATGGGATACTGAACCTTTAAACCCTCCTGAAATCTTAGATACTAAAATGTCTGCCTAAACCCTGAATCCTCCCAAACCTGATATCCTAAACCCAAAAACCTGAAGCCTAAACTCGGGGCAAGGGGTCTAGGGTTGCGACTGTCCAGGCCCCATCGGGAGTGTCTTGCGCGCCGCATAAAGCACAGGATGAACGCACCGTAAAGCCAAAGTCCTTGACAGGACAACGCTTTGACAACCCGAACACCGCAAACCCTAGACTCTATTCCAAGGTGCCGTGGCCGTCCTTGGGATGGATGGGGTCGAAGATCTTTGTTGCATCCATGCCCGCGGCATCCTTTGCTGCTGGACAAGACGAGCTATCAACGTCAGGCAGTTGTTAGCAAAGGATGTGCTTGTTACAGCAAATGTCATGCGATGTCTCCAATGCTTCTGTACAAAATGAACCCTAAACCCCAAACCCTAAAACCCTAAACCCCAAACCCTAAAAAACCCTAAACCCTAAACCCTAAAACCCTAAACCCTGAAAACCCCAAAACCCCAAAACCCTAAACGCTAAAACCCTAAACCCTGAAACCCCAAAACCCTGAAACCCTAAACCCCTTTCTATGAGCCCTTCGAAGCTCCAAAACGCAGCAGAGCATCCGTGATGAGCTTTGCACCCCCGGGGTGGACCTTTGCGAACTTCGTCAAGTCGTAGGCCTTGGCAAAGCTGGAGGGCCCCCAAAAAGCACATAAGCAAAAATTAAGGATATGGATGTCCCATATGAACCCTCTTATAATGAAGCCCAAGAAGGTAGCCCTATAAAATGCTTATGTGCTTTTTGGGTCCCTAATTCTTTGGACTTGGGCTCAAGCGGTTGGGTTCAAGGTTTAGGATTTAGGCTCGAGCTAGGGTTTTTGCTTTCCGGGTTTCGGGTCTAATTCTAGCGTTTCAGGTTCAAGGTTTAGTGGCCTGTTCCAGCGTGGCGGGCTCGGGATTTCCGGCTCTTGCTGTGATGGTGGTGCAAGATGTGCAGGGACACATTTGGGATGCCCGAAGCATGGGGCTTGAGGAGTCTAGGGAGTAAACTGGGTGCAAGGTTTGAGATTTGCCGGAGAAAGCCCCGTGCTAAACTGTACGTTGCCATACTATCTCGCAGTGGGAAGTGCAGCTGCACTCCAGGAGCTGTAAAGACGGACACGTGCATGTATGAGACGTAGATGGGTGAATCAAAGGGGATGCACAGACACAGGCTGGTAGATCGCAAAGTACTTTCCATTCGTCTGTGTGGCTCAATGCTTGAAGCAGCTTCGAAATTGATGCGGTTGTTGCTGGATTCACGGGGTGCATACCATTTCGTATCGTCGCTGGGCGGCGCCCGTCCCACCTTTCGATAAGTTGTGAGACTCGCCCGTGGCAAGCTTCACCATCTACGCTGCACTGGATCCCGACCCCATATTCCTAAACCCAGAATTCCGGCAAGCCCCCTTGGAAACCTCAGCCCGTGCCCCACCTTGCCGTAGAGGACCACCCAGCAGTCTTCCTTGGTGTTGTGCTTGGCAACCTCCTCCATACCTGGTTTTAGGGTTATGGGGCTTTGAGGTTGAGGGATAAAAGAGCAGTTCAGGGCACGTATTTCGGTTGAGACGGAGGATTCAGGGACAAGAGCTCGGGGTCGGCGTTTCAGCTTCGGGGTTCACGAGACAAGTTGCAGTCAGATGGGAGCCCCGCAATGAAAAACCGGTGCCTTCGGGGGCAGAACCAGCACTATCTAAGGATGTGGGGTCAATTGTGCGGGTGGTCAGGATTTAGGGTTTCCTGGGGCTTCCTGGGGTCTGGGCTTCAGGATTCAGGGTCAAGGTTGCACGACTTTTCGTGCGGGTCCCTTCTCTGTCTGCCTCTTTTGTACTGCGAATTCAAGCTTGAGGAAGGAGTCTTTCAGGGCTTAGGGTCGTGAGTACCCTGTCTGTTGGCAAGCACTTTGGGGGTGAAGACAACACCCCCTAAACATACTAAGCCTCAAGATCCTTCAACCAAGGTCCTACACTCGCAGGTTTGGCTTCAAGTTTCAGGCCAAGGCTTCCGTTCCAAGCTAAGGGCTGAAGCTTTAAAGCTCCCAGAGCTTGGAAAAAAAGAATGAGGTTTCGAATGTCAACCCCCACGAAATTCAATTCTTAAAGCCCAGAAATGGGAGTCGAGGCTTCGTGCGGCCAAGCGACTCAGGACTTTGTCCGACATGGCGACGGAAGCTGGGTAGTACGAGAGCTCTACGTGTACCGGAATGTGGCAAAGCTGAGCCACACGGAAGCAGGCTGCGGATGGCGAAATTGGGTTTAGGGTGAAGCGTCTTGCGCCCCCTTCTTTTGGTGGCGCGAAGCTTGAAATGAAAACCACCAGGATTTCGACCCTCCAACGGACTGAGCTGGGGCTGAGAGCTGCACTGTAGGTTGGTTGCTTTGGCTTGCCCTAGTCAGACTCGCGGCCTCAAACCGCATACTGTAAACACGAGACACCAAAAGGAGCAAAAAAGACTAGCAGCGAAGGCTAGGCATGGCTAGGCCGGCTAGGCAAACCGATGCGCCAAAAAAGACCTGCAGAGAGATTCCTAGCGGAGGAACTCGACTCAACATCCTCCTCATACGCATCGTAGACGACATGCCTGTTTCACATACCTCTCACATGAACCCCCACAAGACCCTCAAACCCTCAACCCTACATGCTAGAGCCTGAAATACTAAACCTCTGGCACTTAGACAGCGGCTTCCCTGGGCAGCATCACTGGCAGCTTTCGCAGTGCAGACCAAAGCTCGCCTGGGGGCAACTACCATGATCGCACTTTTTTTGTTTGCTAGCATCAGCATTATTAACTAGAAGTAATGCCAGAAGCAACAGCAGCAGCAGCACCACTACCACCACCACCATTTGTCGTGCTGACAGAATAGAATAGAATCGGTCCCTAGTGTTGTTGCTGCTGCTATTGGAACAATGATGCTGATTGTCAACATCATGAGTATGTCCTGTATGCTATGGCCATCTCGCGAAATGTGGACTGTTGCTGCTGTTAGGACAATCAGGATAACACTGACAGTGAACATGCTACTGTCAACCTTACGAATCGGAGCATTGTTTGGGGCTCGGGGGGGATGACTTCTTAGATCTTACATCTGGGGTTTGGGGTTTAGAGCTTATGAAACCTGAACCTTCAACCTGTGGGGTGCGGGTTCGGCGCTGAGCGGAACAAGGTGCTCTAGGGTGTACAGCAGTGCTTGGGGTTTGAGATTTCGGGTTTTAGGCTTGTCCACCGGGGCTCCATAACACTCGCGAAGGGTGGGCGACTACTGCATGTTAAACATTTAAACGCTGCGTGCCTCCGGCCAGAATCTCCGTGAGCATGCTAACGCAGGTCTTCGTCTCAAAGACGGCCACCATGTACCTGAAAACGGCAAAGTCCCATGAAAACCCGCTCGAACCCGTTTAACAGCCAGCGAAACGCGTGGAACCCTTATGCAACCCTCCGAAACCTCTTCACGATCCAAACCATACCCCGAAGGGGAGGGGCAGAATGAACGGATGGTCGTTCTCCGCCAGGATGTCGCACTCCGTCTGCATCTCCTGTGGCTAGCAACGGCGTCATCGATATCTTCGAAGCCTCAGCCCTTTGGTTCTCGGGGCCTGGAAACATGGATTGGAGACAAAGCCAAAATGCTCGCAACTGTCGACGAAGTATAGCTGCTTTTGAACTAAAGATCCTGAACCCGTGAGACTGCTGCTCATGCTGCCGACAAACAACGTAGTGATGTCGACAATGAACATGACTACACAGCAAGGATGACGACGGTGATCATAGAGCAAGTCACAGCCCTGATCATGAGGACAGTGAAGACGATGTGAGGGTGTGGATGAACAAAATACAGATGGTAGTGATGGCACTACTGTGTCAAGTTGAATTACAGCCTCCATCTCGGCTCCTGCACCTGCGGCAGCGCTACCTCTACTACACTTATTCGTGCTCTCGCCTCGGCTGTTTGCTGTTGCTACGCGTACCTATTACACAACGACGTCGACAAGGCAACCACTGCGACACTCCATGCAAATATCACTGAGGACATCGCCGCGAACATGACGACCGCGACCATCATGACCAGCATCGACAAAATCACGAGGACTTTGACCACAAAAAGAAACAGCACAGTCTATGGTTCGGAGATCTCGGATTAGTTCACGGTTAAGGCTGTGCAAAATACGATTCTTCTGATTAGTGTTGTTCTGATAAATGATTCTCAATGATTAAACAGATAGCGTGAAGCTTATCATCAGTAGTACTCCTATTAACGGTGGTGTTGCTACTAGTGCCATTGCATTCCTACTGGTATTACTATTATTTCATGTTATTGCCGTTCAACTCACTGAACTACTGTTGTTCTTTAACAGTAGTATTACCGTGCTGCCGAAGTACCGAGGGCATCTTTCCACTCAGCGTCCGCTTGCAGGTTTTCAGCGCATACTTCGCACCAGTTTTCCTGGGAAAGCGCTTTCTGCGCATGCTTGCGGCTGTTCGGCTTCGGGCCTAGGGCCTTTAAGCTTCGAGGATTTGGGAGTCAATTTTTCAGATTTGCAGGCTGGGGTTAGACAAGCTTCTGCTCCTAGCGCTTCAGCACTTGAGGTGATTGTGTTTGCATAGTTCAGCCGTCGGCTTACTGCACAAAGCACTGCGAGCGGCTGGCCTGGCTTTCGCAGAGATGTCTTCCGCATTCTGTAGGATGCCAGGTTTGTTGGAAATCCCTACTCAAAGCCTGCACCTCAAACCCGCAAAACCCGACGACCTGCTGGCAAGAAGGGAGGGAGTTCTGAATCGAATGGCTAATTACATTAAATTTTCTTAGGGAGCATGTTTCGCTCTCGCGATTTGACACGCAGTTTTGCCAAAACGCCGTTGCTTTCAGAGGCTCTTACTGCTTTAACTATCTATAACTGCAGAACTGGGACGGTACGCGAATGTTGCGACTGATCCCGATGCATATATTCAAAACCCGGAGGTCATCTGAGTGGCCGATGCTCCACCAACCGCACTGTGCTGAAGGCACCAGCGCCCAGGAAGTTCATGGGCTTAAGGTCGTTCAGCGTTACCTCATGGAAGTCGGTTAGCTTCTTGGCAAGAGGGGGCGTTGTCGAGTGCATCCTTAAAGGATCCAAGACTCAATTGCACATAAAAAATTATCTGCTGAAACTAGTTCATATCTGATGAAACTCTATCGCAACATGCGCCACCTTGGTCAAGAACCGTATTTCCAAGACATCTCGAACCCTCATTCAACTTCGTCGTCGGAGGCCTGTGATCTAACAAAGGGCCTTGAAAATTAGACTGGGCTTTTCGGGCATAGTGCAGCATAACTCGAAAGAGACTTGTCGCGCGCCGTTGCTGATCTCTTTGTTGGTTTCCCGTGACAAACATGAAAACCAGCCTTCACTGTACTATCAGGCTCAATCTCCACCTCAATCCAGCACCTAGAAAGACTGAAACTGGTGTCTGGCATTTGCCGATAGTAGATGGCTAGTCGCTGAGGCGCAAGAATGCTGTACAGCACGACGACGATGACGAAACTAGTAAGATATGAACTATTCCGAATAAGATCGGAACCAACAACGACAACGACAGTGACCATTGCAGGTAATAGAGGATGTCACTGGTATTGCGGTTACAGAAACAACAATAATAAGCTGAGAGGAGGGTGGGTTCCGGAAGCCTTGGTCAAAGATGTTTCGCAGGCATAAAGAATAAAGAGTCTTGGGCATGATGCATCGAGCTTGAGGCCTTTGATGTGCAAGATAGTTGTGTATGTGCCAGGCTGCAGTGGGTGTGAACCAGCTACGCCAAACAGCCCAACCCTTGTACGCAGCACCTGCGCAAAGCAACTTGAACCCTGCGAGTGCCAGAATGCCGAGACACCCCAGCATCCTGGATGCTGATTCGGTACTCCAGATCCTTTCGCATCTTGGCAGTGATGATCTGCCTTGAGAGCATGCAAATTTCCAGGTGATCTTGACAGTTTTGCGCACTGGGAATATGTCCATAGGCCGAGGTATAAAACTGACTGGCAAACTCAAAGTACAAACCTCCGCCATATCAAGGTTACTGCGGCTATGCTGTCTGAGAAGGAAACCAACCAGGTAAAGCTGCCGAGTCCTCTTTCATTACGTGCGGCGGAACAGGGAACACAAGGTTTCGGGATCGGTTTAAGGGATTGAGAGGTTCCGATGTCATGTGGGCCTTGACACACAAGTTCCGAATGCCTGCTTGGTTCATAGATACGGGTAGACCATCCTGCCTTCGTAAGGTACGCGGGGTACTGTATACAAATCACGAAAGTCGACAAAAGCTCGCATTCCCCCGCTTTTGCCGAGGCACTTGAACACAGACTTTTCCAAGGTCCAGAGCTCCACACGGTCGCTCGAGACCTCGTAAGAAGGCTAACCGGCTAACAATAGCAACGGTCAAAAGCATTGAAAGCCGGATGCAAAGCAGAAAGCCCTCGAAGGCCCCTCCCCCCCCCCCTTCAGAAAAAAGACACCTCCTTTGGTACGCCGGTCCCGGACCTGCACCGTGGCACTCCGGGGCTCGTCAAAGAGAAGGGCCCGCTCCTGGGATGCTCGGCATATATGTCCGTATATATCGGCATGTAGATGTATGTGTGTGTATATATATATATAGAGAGAGAGAGAGAGAGAGAGAAACAGCCGCATATCTACATACCTAGATACACATACACCTATATATATATATATATATATATATATCGACCCTGCTGTCGATCCATCCATCCATCTAGATCTGTATATCCATGTGTACACGTATCTATATATCTGCATATCTACATGTATCCATATGTCTACGCATCGGCATATCCAAAAGCCTATGTACTACGAATCCAAAATATCTAAATGTCTATGTATACCCATACACGCATATATCTTTCCGTACGTCTCAACATCTGTATAACTATATGTCTGTACGTCTCTGTCCCTATATCTATATCTATATCTATATATATATATATATATATATATATATATATGGGTACCCCCCTATATGGGGTCCCCTGGGTTTTTGCACACCTAAACTATTAAACCATTAAACCAATCCTTTCCCCCAATGGACCCAAACCAATAAACCATTAAACCATTAAACCAATCCTTTCCCCCAATGGACCCAGACCAATAAGCCATTAAACCATTAAACC